TACCATCCTGGTAAATCTCCTTTTACCCTCTCCAATGCCTTGACATCCTTCCTAAAGTGTGGTGCCCAGAACTGAACACAGTCTCTCGCTGAAACCTAACCAGTGTTTTATAAAAGTTCATCATAACTTCGTGACTTTTGTATTCTATGCCCTTGTTTATAAAGCCTAGTATCCCGTATGCTTGTTTAACAGCTTTATCTACCTGTCCTGCCACCTTCAAAGATTTACTTATAAGAACCCCCAGGTCTCTCTGTCCCTTCACCCCCTTTAAGATTCTACCATCAGCTTATATTGCCTCTCCTCATTCTTCCTCCCAAAAGGCATCACTTCGCATTTCTCCACATTAAACTTCATCTGCCACGTGTCTGCCCATTTTGCCAGTCTGTCTATGTTCATTTGCAGTCTGCTACTATCCTCCTCACTGTTTACTACTTTTCCTATCTTAATATCATCTGCAAACTTAGAAATTGTACTCCCTATACCCAAGTCCAGATCAGTTATATAGATCAAAAACAGCAATGGTCCCAATACTGACCCCTGGGGGACTTCACTGCACACTTCCCTCCAGTCAGAAAAACAACTGTTCACCACAACTCTCTGCTTTCTGCCTTCCAGCCAGTTCTGTATCCATGCTGTCACTGTCTCTTTAATACCGCTGACTTCTATTTTGCTTACAGGTCTCTTATGTGGCACTTTATCAAACGCCTTTTTGAAAATCCATCTAAACTACATCAACTGCACTACCTTCATCCACCCTCTCCGTTACTTCATCCCAAACCTCCATCAGATTTGTTGGACATGATTTGCCTTCAACAAGTCCGTGTTTTATTTTGTTTTATTTTATTTGCCTAAAATTCTGTGAAAACTGCGACTGCCAACGAAATCGCCATCACCTTTAGTATTATTAACATGGAAGGGCAATTTACTGGTGGGATTTTGAGATTACTGTGGCAGAATTCCTAGGACTTTTTCCACCACTTTATATATTAAAAATGCCCTGATTCATAGAACTGGCGAGATTGGCAAGCGGCATTACTTGAAAAGAGTTTCTCTCAGTGTCCTGGCCAACAATTGATCATTTATTCCAAGGCTGTTTGTGGAACATTGTTGTGTACAAATGAGTTGCTGTATTTGCCTACAAAATTCCTCCAGAGAGAGAGAGTGCACATTCCATTCCAATACACGAGACTCCCTATGTGTTCGTGGGATACATGGAGTATTGCACGGGTTTCCACGTGTCAGACACTCGGCTGACCATACGGTGGCTCAGTTGGTAAAGCCACTGCCAGTGTGAATCAAATTCTAGAGCCCCTCAAGGTCTGGTCTGTGTTGACCCTGTTGATCTCAGCCTACAGGGATGGACTGGCTATATGGGATATCAAAACATTTTCCAAGCGTCCCCATGATACTTACCACCCCAGAGCCCACCCTCCCTCATAAGTGACAGGTTGGACCAGCCAATAATCGCCCAGAGCCCGTCCTTCCTGATGAGTGATAGCTATGATAGCCAATCACCACCTGATGGGCCAAAGAACCTTCTTCATCCAAATCCATCTTGTGATCCGCGTGTAGGAGTCAGTGCCTACAAGGGATGTAGGGTAGGAGAAACTGAAGGGTGGACGCCAAAGGATGGTTGGAAATAATGCGAACTTCATTGTGTTCTTCTTTTTATTATAGAGAATAACAGACACGAGGAACAATCATATTGCAAAAAGCTAATCCAGAAGATCTGACGATGCCAATAATCAATGAGAAAAAGTGAGTGATTTAGTGCTTGTTGTTCATCAAAACTCGGAGATATGAGCAGTGAAGAAGGCCAAGAAGATACTGGACGTTAGTACAAGGCGTCTGGAATATAAAAGGAAATGTTGTAACATAGTGCAATAGACTTCATTTGGAGAATTTTTCACTTTGCCTTTGCCCAACCCCACTCTGATTTATAATGATCATAATCTTTGTATTTGACGTAGCGACTTATCACGTCAAGAGGACGTGTCAAAGTGCTTCAAAGGATTTTACAATGTAGTGGCTGTATCTATTTTGTAGGACGAAGCAGGAGCCAATTTGCACACAGCGAGGTCCCACAAACAGCCAACGAAGTGAGTTCATGACCAACGTTGGTTTGGGAGAATGTTGACCAGGAAGGACACTGTGAGAAACTCCATTCCCCATTTCGAATAGCGCAACAGGTTCTTTAACGTTCACCTGAACAAACAGATGGAGATTCCATTGAACATCTCATCCGAAAGATGGCACCTCTGGTAATACAGCACAACGCTGTATTTTCGTTTTTTTCTTGAATATTTCTTTATTTATTCCCTAAATAAATCAAATCGAGTCCTGTAGCTCAGTGGTTAGAGCACTCACCTCGCAAGCGAGAGACCTGGGTTTGATTCCCGGTAGGGCGAAACCTCGGGCAAGTTTCCTTACTCCACATTGCCTGATAATAATCCCTCAAGGGAAAAAGAACAATAATAATTTGGTCACTCGATCCACGAGTGTTCGTGGGGACGCTGCTGTGCGCAATTGGCGGCCGCGTTTCCCCCACAAATATACTTTGCAGTGTATTCTGTGAAGCGCTTTGAGACGGTCTCGAAGACGTGATAAGGCGCTGTATCAAATGCAGGGATTATTATTATTCGGCGCCTTGGGACGTCCTCCCGACGTGAAAGGCGCTTTACAAACGTAATTCTGTAGGGCATTGTAGGGGTCGGTCACTACAGCTGTAGAACATTGTATATATAGCTCAAGGGAAACCCACCAACATGGCGTTGAGGTCATTAATTTCTGTAAGACTTTTGACCCAAGTGCCTCGTGAAATCGTCCACCAAAAACCTACAGGAATCCCTCTCTCCCTTTCCCCCAACTCACTCACCTTTCCCTCTCCCTCTTCACCCTCTCCCGCTTTCCCTTCTTTTCTTTCTCTCCCTTTACCTCCCTCCTCACCCTCTCCTGATTTCCTCTCTTTCCACTTTCTCACTCTCTTCTCTCCCCCCACCCCCTCTTTTCTGTATCTCCTCTCTCCACCCCTTCTTTCCCCTCTTTTCCTTCTCTCCCTGATCACTCTCTCATCTTCCCATTCCCTTCTCCCCACCACCCACCCACCCATCTCTCTCTTCCCTTCCCTTTTCTCTCCCCCCCTCCTTTCCCCTCCCTTCTGTACTCTCCCCTTCGTCTCTCTCCCCATCTTTCTCTCTCCCCCATCTTTCTCTCTCTCCCCATCTCTGTCCCCATCTTTCTCCTCATCTTTCTTTCTCCCCATCTTTCTCTCCCCCCTCTTTCTTTCTCTCCCCACTCTTTCTCTCTCCCCATCTTTCTCCCTCTCCCCATCTTTCTCTCTCCATCTTTCTTTCTCTCCCCATCTTTCTCTCCCCCCTCTTTCTTTCTCTCCCCATCTTTCTCTCCCCCCTCTTTCTCTCTCTCCATCTTTCTTTCTCTCCCCATCTTTCTCTCTCTCCCCATCTCTCCCCATCTTTCTCTCCCCCCTCTTTCTTTCTCCCCATCTTTCTCCCTCTCCCCATCTTTCTCCCTCTCCCCATCTTTCTCTCTCTCGCCCTCTTTCTTTCTCTCCCCCTCTTTCTCCCTCTCCCCATCTTTCTCCCTCTCCCCATCTTTCTCTCTCCATCTTTCTTTCTCTCCCCATCTTTCTCTTTCCCCCATCTTTCTCTCTCTCCCCATCTCTCTCCCCATCTTTCTCTTCCCCCTCTTTCTTTCTCTCTCCATCTTTCTTTCTCTCCCCATCTTTCTCCCTCTCCCCATCTTTCTCCCTCTCCCCATCTTTCTCTCTCCATCTTTCTCTCCCCCCTCTTTCTCTCTCCCCATCTTTCTCCCTCTCCCCATCTTTCTCTCTCCATCTTTCTTTCTCTCTCCATCTTTCTTTCTCTCCCCATCTTTCTCTTTCCCCCATCTTTCTCTCTCTCCCCATCTCTCTCCCCATCTTTCTCTCCCCCCTCTTTCTTTCTCTCTCCATCTTTCTCCCTCTCCCCATCTTTCTCCCTCTCCCCATCTTTCTCCCTCTCCCCATCTTTCTCTCTCCATCTTTCTCTCCCCCCTCTTTCTCTCTCCCCATCTTTCTCCCTCTCCCCATCTTTCTCTCCCCCCTCTTTCTTTCTCTCCTCCTCTTTCTCTCTCTCCCCATCTTTCTCCCCATCTTTCTCCCTCTCCCCATCTTTCTCTCTCCCCTCTTTCTTTCTCCCTCCCTTTATCCTTCCCCCTTTCTCTCTCTCTCTCTCTCCCTCCCCTCCTTTTTCCTCTTCCCCTTCTACCTCTCTTGTCCTTTCTCGCTCCCTGCGCGCGCCCTTCCCCCCCCGCCCCCCTCGCGCGCCCCCGCCCCCCCCCGCGCGCCCCCGCCCCCCGCGCGCCCCGCCCCCCCGTGCACGCGCGCTGCAGGTGCCGGTCTGAGGGGGAGGAGAGAGAGACAGAGACAGAGAGAGAGGGACTCAGACACAGAGAGAAGCGGCTCCACACACCGAGACACTGACACAGCACTGCACAGCCTCTCACACACACCCCCCCACCCCCAGGGACACACACACCCCCACCCCCAGGGACACACAGGGACACACACACCCCCACCCCCAGGGACACACACACACACACCGAGACACTGACACACACCAGCACAGCCTCTCACACACCCCCCCCACCCCCAGGGACACACAGGGACACACACCCCCCCCACCCCCAGGGACACACACACACACACACCGAGACACTGACACACATCAACACAGCACAGCCTCTCACACCCCACCCCCACCCCCAGGGACACACAGGGACACACACACACTGAGACACTGACACACCAGCACAGCACCAACACAGCACCACCACAGCACAGCCTCACACACACACACCAGACAACAACCAACACAGACACCGAGACACTGACCACAGCCTCACACACACACACACACACACACATAGACATACACAGCAGCTCCCGACACACCGCCCCCCCCCACACACACACCCCCCCCCCCCCCACACCCCCCCCCCACACACTCACTCACTCACTCACTCACTCACAGCCCTCAGTCCCCGGTATCCGCACTCCGCGCTGATGGTGGACTCGGGAGGAGCGGCGCTGATGTTGTTGGTCCTCACCCTCGGGCTGCTCCCTCAGGTAAGTGACTGTGCCCCGAGCCCGGCTTCACCCCCCCCCCCACCCCCCCCCCTCACCAGCTACCACCCCCCTCACCCACCCCCTCACCAGCTACCACCCCCCCCCCACCAGCTACCACCCCCCCACCAGCTACCACCCCCCTCACCCCCCCCCCCCACCCACCCTCACCAGCTACCACCCCCCTCACCCCCCCCCCCCCCCCACCCACCCTCACCAGCTACCACCCCCCTCACCCTCTCCCCCCCACCAGCTACCACCCCCCCTCACCCTCTCCCCCACCCTCTCCCCGCCCCCACTCACCCTCTAACCCCCCACCCCCCCTCCCTCTACCCTCACCCTCACCCCACTGCCCCTCTCTCTCCCCACTGCCCCTCTCTCTCCCCATTGCCCCTCTCTCTGCCCATTGCCCCTCTCTCTGCCCACTGCCCCTCTCTGCCCACTGCCCCTCTCTCTGTCCACTGCCCCTCTCTCTGCCCACTGCCCCTCTCTCTGCCCATTGCCTCTCTCTCTGCCCACTGCCCCTCTCTCTGCCCATTGCCCCCCTCTCTGCCCATTGCCCCTCTCTCCGCCCATTGCCCCTCTCTCTGCCCACTGCCCCTCTCTGCCCACTGCCTCTCTCTGCCCACTGCCCCCCTCTCTGCCCATTGCCCCTCTCTCTGCCCATTGCCCCTCTCTCTGCCCATTGCCCCTCTCTCTGCCCACTGCCCCTCTCTGCCCACTGCCCCTCTCTCTGCCCACTGCCCCTCTCTCTGCCCACTGCCCCTCTCTCTGCCCACTGCCCCTCTCTGCCCACTGCCTCTCTCTGCCCACTGCCCCCCTCTCTGCCCATTGCCCCTCTCTCTGCCCATTGCCCCTCTCTCTGCCCATTGCCCCTCTCTCTGCCCACTGCCCCTCTCTCTGCCCACTGCCCCTCTCTCTGCCCACTGCCCCTCTCTCTGCCCACTGCCCCTCTCTCTGCCCATTGCCCCTCTCTCTGCCCACTGCCCCTCCTGCCCACTGCCCCTCTCTCTGCCCACTGCCCCTCTCTGTCCACTGCCCCTCTCTCTGCCCACTGCCCCTCTCTCTGCCCACTGCCCCTCTCTCTGCCCACTGCCCCTCTCTCTGCCCACTGCCCCTCTCAACCATTCCCCGACGTCTTCGCATTCCCTGGAGTCGCTCCATCCCCGGGACCCGAGCCCAGCTTCCCGTCTCCCTCCATCACTCGGGAGGGAGAGAGAGAGAAGGGGGGAGAAAAGAGAGAGGGGAGAGAGTGTGAGAGGGAGAGAGAGAGAAGGGGGAGAAAAGAGAGAGGGGAGAGAGTGTGAGAGGGAGAGGGAGAGAGAGAGCGAGAAGCTTCTCATCCCGTCCTTGAATATGTGTCTTTGTTCGCCCACAAATATACAGTCAATTCACTTTACATTGTGTTCTGTGAAGCGCTTTGGGACGTCCGCCCGACGTGAAAAGCGCTATATCAAATGCAAGGATTATTATTATTATTATTTGTCTGTTTGCCTTTGAGTCTCTCTCTCTCTCTGTATCTGTTTCTTTCTCTCTCTGTATCTTTCTCTCTCTCTGTATCTTTCTTTCTCTCTCTCTCTCTCTTATCTATCTTTCTCACTCTCTGTATCTGTTTCTTTCTCTCTCTGCATCTTTCTCTCTCTCTGTATCTTTCTCTCTCTCTATCTGTTTCTTTCTCTCTCTCTGCCTTTAAGTATCTCTCTCTCTCTCTGTGTGTCTCTTGTTTTCTGTCTCTCCCTCTCTTTTCTCCCTCTCTGTGTCTTTCGAGCATCTCTCGTCTTTGTATCTGTCTCTTTCTCTCTCTTCCTGTGTCTCTTTTTCTGTCTCTCCCTCTCTCTGTCTGTGAGTATCTCTCTGTCTCTCTGTGTGTCTTTATGAGTATCTCTCTGTCTGTTTCTCTCTCTCTGTCTGTCTTTGAGTATCTCTCTCTGTCTGTTTCTCTCTCTCTGTTGTCTCCGTCTCCCTCTTGTCTTTAAATATCTCTTTGTGTGTGTGTCTTGTTCTGTCCGTCTCTCTCTGTCTCAGTATAACCCTCTCGGAGTGAGGACAAACCTCCAGATTGCAAAGTGCGTTTCATTTATTTCTGTGCCCTCTTTTTCTTTTTAAAAAGAAATCAGGAATGTCTCTCTTATCTCTGTAGCAAAAATAAACCCTCTGGGAGGGTGTTGGAGGGTTGTAGCGGCCGGTCAACCAGGCAAAACAACAGCCAACACCTTTTATAGAGTTACTTTTGTTTTTGCCGGTTCAAATGCAAACCTTTCAGGCTGTTGATTCATTTTTTTTTTGTAAAGCCCTCCAGAGAAAAACAAAGGTGCATTGCCTTGTCAGTTGAGTTAAGCCCTGCGTTTCGCACACTTTCTCGATGGTCCAAATGGTCAAGCGAAATGTTCTCCCTTCTCTCTTTGGGCTGAGAAGGAGACGATACATTTCTCTGGTGTCTCTTTATCTCTGGTTGTCTGTGTCTTTTGAGTGTTTATCCCCCTATGTGTGTGTGTGTGTCTCTCTCTATCTTTGTGTCTCAGTTTCTGTCTGAGTGTTTGTCTGTCTCCCTGTGTCTCTCCTTTTCTCTCTCTCTCATCCTTGAGACACTGTACTGTGTGTTGTGTCTCTTTTTCTGTGTCTTTTTCCAGTGCACCGGCTGCCCACAACTCAGCTGTTGTGCTTTTTTTTTGAAAGAAGCCCTCTTATGTTGTGTTTTTTTTCTCCTCTTTTTAAACCCCGAAAGACATTAAGTGCTTGGAGATCCAAATCAGTTTCGCCGTGAAGGAGTAGCCCAATGTGTTTGCTCTTAGGCTTGGCGAATAAATGTGTGGTTTATCTTTTTAAGTGTCGTTAATTTGCAGCAGGTAAAACAGTAACACGGCACAGACATTGTTACCTTCCCAAAAGTATTGATTTTTAGCTACACAACCTTAAAATCGTGTGTGTGTTTCTGTGTTTGGTCATTGTATGAAAGGTCTTCGAAACAAAAGATGAGATAGAGTGCCAGAGTTCAATATTGATTATTCTGCATTTATCTGTCTTTCTTTCTTTACTTCTTTCTCTCTCTCTCCCTCCCTCCATCCTCCACCCCCTCTCGCCCTCTCTCTGGGTTTTTAAATCACAATAGATTGAGGGATTTCCATGAACTGGGAATAGGACGTCAGTTAATTCCAAGCCTTTCTTAAATGCGCTTCAAAAGCTTTGGTGTAAGTGTTTGAGGAGGAGGGGAGGGTGGGTTGATGTCTGACTACCATATCTGGGAACTGTCCAGGAGCGGTCTGTTTAATATTAGTAGAAATCCTAATAATGTATAACTTATCTCACTCTCTCTCTCGCTCCTCCGCACCCCCCCAGTTGGACAAGTTACAGTTGTATTTTGTCTGGAAGTCAACTTGCGTTCCAAAAACAAAAATGTATTGAGTGCAGTCGCTCTGCCTTACCAGTTATCACTTATGCAGTGCTCCTGAGATGTTGGGCGCTGTGTAAATAAATGTGTGGTATCACCATATCGCGTACCTTACTCCTACTTTTGCCCGTTGTTCCGACCAGAGCTGGGCAGCAACTGAAAGTACACTTTTATATTTAAAAAAAACACATTTGTTATAGTGTTTTGGTTACGCAAAAGGAGTATATATTTCAACTTGTGGTTAATGAAGGAAGTGGGGTTTGGGGAGTGAAGCTGAGCCTTCTCCCTTGATTGGAATTACCTTTTGATGGTACACATTTGTAATCTGTAGAAAGGCCACATAAACCACATAATTTACCGTTGCATTTAGGATTTAGTTCTGGTAGTTTACTCTTGTCTCCGTGGTATGTGAGGTGATTCGAGGTTGAGCCTGGATGTTTTATGTTTTAACTCTTGGCTTTGGGGGCATTTGGAGGTTTTGGCTAAATCCCTGACAGTAATATGCCATGTTCCAAAGTAATGCTAAATTGCCCGCTCTCAGGATAATTTGCCTTTTGTTCTCACTGCCTCTTGTCAACTGCCTATCTGATAAAAGAATTGTTTGAAGTATAGTAATTAAAATAGTTTGGCACTAAATCAGTTAAATGTACTGTACGCTTCGAATTACACGATCAGAGATGCACCATACTTGCACATAATTGAACTGTTTCCAGTCTGTAGACTTTGTCTACAGTGAGGCCCATAGTAGTTCAACCCGGCAGCCATTTGCTGAGTCTCCAGACCATTGTGTAGTAATGTCATTGACCTTAATGGCCAAACATTTGAGCTGAGTTTGAAAGTGTCCCTATTCTTCCCCCCCCCCCCCCGCCCCCGTCTGTGTCTACAAGGGCACTTTTATTCACTGAAAAGATAGCCATCTTCAAGTAGGATTCACAGCTCAAAGGGTTAACAACGTGTGGTTGATTTGGATCTATTTAGGAAGTAGTGTAATTTCAGCTGCTCAAGGCAGGTAGTGAGTGGATTGCNAAAAAAATTTGCCAACCAGCAGGTTACAGCAAAACAATGTGTGCTGTTGCATTCAAATTATTATTAATAATAATAATAATAATAATCCTTGCATTTGATATAGCGCTTTTCACGTTGGGAGGAAGTCCCAAAGCGCTTCACAGAACACACTGTAAAGTGAATTGACTATATATTTGTGGGCGAACGCGGCAGCCAATTGCGCACAGCAATGTCCCACAAACAGTTGTAGATTGAAAATGACCAATTTATTATTGTTTTGGGTTTTGGAGGGATTATTATTAGGCTCTGCGTGGAGTAAGGAAACTTGCCCAAGGTTTCGCCCTCTGCCGGGAATTGAACTCGGGTCTCTCGCTTGCAGAGCGAGTGCTCTAACCACTGAGCTACAGGACTCCACTATTAGACTTTAATTGTATATTTTATCTTCCTTTTAATTTAAAGGTGCCAGTAAAGGCAACTGGACATGCCACGTGCAAGACTGGATTTTCGGAAGACATTTACGATGCAGTTGTTTCAAGGAGCATTCATGAAGGGCAGCCTCTTTTAAATGGTAATTCTCTACCTCAATATCACTCTTTTCAAAGTCTTGTTGGATGATGTTTGTATTAAATTAGAGAATTTAATCAGGCATGGTGCACAGTAGCTTGAATCTTCAGATTTAAAAACAAGCAGAACAAAAGAATGTAAATATTTCGATTGGGAAGAAAAATCATAATTTTTTACTGATGGAATTTGGTAGAGAGCCAGCCGAGTCGAGTGTATCTTGAGGGATTTGAAAAAGAAGACGTGCTGAGATGTAACTTCTCCGCTCAGGAGGCGCTGGCCTGCTCCGTGTCCCTCGCCCGGCCCACCCCACCATCGGTGGTCGGGCTTTCACCCTTTGGAACTCCATCCCACGTTCCCTTTCTTTCGCTCCCTCCATTACCTCCTTCAAGGCATTTCGCAAGACCCTCTTCGACCGCGCTTTCCGTCACACCCCTACTCCTACCCTCCATCCCTCCTGATCCCACCTCCTTGCTCGGGTCTAAATTCCTGACTTGGGACGTTCCACCAGTGTGAAAGGCGCTATACAAATGTAATTTGTTGTTGTTGTGATGGTTTCATGGTGCGTGGAGGGGCAATGCTAGTTCAAGCAACTGAGACCTCGATTCCTAACTTCAAGCACCCAACGTCTCCTTGTCACTTGAGCTCACGAGCCTTGAGGTTTCACACTATTTGTCGCGAGATCCAATACTGGGTTTGTCACATGGAAGAGCCGTGCTATTTTTGTTGCCTATTCTCTGCACTTTATCCGAGTTACTTTTTAAAAAAAAGAAGGAAACACGATCCTGAAAAAGGTGATTGAGTCAGTGAATTGCAGCCATTACCTCCCCTGTCAGTGGGAGGAAGTTTGTGTTGACTTAATGTTCAACACGGAATATGTTTATAATACGTAGATGAAATCCTGCCGTTTAACTTTGTGTTATTGGGATCAAAAGCTCATGACAAGGCCGGTTAGATAATCTCTTGTATGTTTTATTAAATGCATGTCAAACATTCGTTGACAATTTTGACAAAGGGAGGAACTTTTCTTGAAAAATCATCATTGAAAGTTGGGCTTCTGACCAGGAAAGTGAAATGGAGTGGAATAATGACTGTATTAGTGTCGGAAGACTTCGGAAAATGGCTGTTTTTAAAAAAAAGAAAATGTGGGATGTTGACCCAATTGCTTACTCTTGACATGGGCTTTATGTTGAGCTTTATCCAAGCAGTGTTACAGTATGACCCCTGGGGTTATCAAATAACAATAATAATCAGCCTTGCATTTGAAATGGCACCTTTCCCTGCTGTTTACGACCGCATTACAAGGCCAGAGGAAAATGTGATGGACTCGTTGTGTGAATGCTGACTCCAGAGGTGTGGGATACCACGAGATTATGCAATGGACCATGATCGTAAAAAGCAATCATTTTAATGAGAAATGCAAATATATAGTGTGCTTATGTGAAGATTTTGAAATACTAGGTCTTTGTTGGAAAGGGAAATTGGGTGTTGTTTCGGTGCAGCTTTGAGGCTAACAGATAGATCTGAAATGTCTCACCCTGTTTGCTGGCATTTGCTGGTACAGTAAATTCAGTGTTACACTATGCTTATTGTATGTGCTCGTCTGTTGCATTTTAGAGAGTTGATTTTTTGTTCTGTTGAGGATTTAATCTCAACTTCAGTCCTCTTGTGCCTCGACCTAATTGAAAGGCACTAGATAGATATCCAAAACAGAGTAAATTACTTGGGCATAGAGAAAAGGCAAGTAAATGAGACTGAATGGATTGCTCTTTGAAAGATCCAGTACAGAAACGCAATGGTCCAAATGGCCTTCTGTGCTGTAAATCTCTACGGTTTTTATGATTGTAATGCCCTAATTGTGAGACAGAGCATCTAATATTGTTTTTGGACTTGTTGGTCCATAATACTACTACTACTACTAATAATAATAATCCTTGCATTTAATAAAGCGCTTTTCACGTCGGGAGGACGTCCCAAAGCGCTTCGCAGAACACACTGTAAAGTGAATTGACTGTATATTTGTGGGCGAACGCGGCAGCCAATTGCGCACAGCAATGTCCCACAAACAGTCGGAGATTGAAAAATGACCAATCTATTATTGTTTTGGGTTTTGGAGGGATTATTATTAGGCTCTGTGTGGAGTAAGGAAACTTGCCCAAGGTTTCGCCCTGCCGGGAATTGAACTCAGGTCTCTCACTTGCAAAGCGAGTGCTCTAACCACTGAGCTACAGGACTCCACATAAGCATTTAGGTGTCAGCCTGTCCAGCTTTGGCAGAAGGTTGTGTGTTCAACCCCTAATGTGGGGACTTTTGAGCTCACAGTCTACACTGAGACTCCAATGCAGTGCTGTGTATATGTCTGAATGTTAGGTTGGGGGGTTGCACTGTTGGAGGTCGGGTCCTTTCGATGCGATGTGAAACCCAGGTACCGCCTGCCCTTCCGGGTGGGTATTACATATCCTGTGTCGCTATTCGAAAAGTTCCTGCTGGTATTCTGGTCAACAGTTGGTCATTGACTTCATGGCTGGTTGTGGGCCAATGCTTTGTGTAAATTGGCTGCCACGTTCACCTACAAAATATACAGTCACTACATGGTAAGTATCCCGTGGAGGTATTTCAGTGGAGTGATGAGGAGCTGTATCAAATGCAAATATCATTTCCACCCCCTCGCGTTTCTCAGTGTGAAACTGGACTTATGAACTGTGAACGCATCTAATGTGGTACTGAGGCTCTTGTTTCTCGTCCTTCAAGTTTATTGGTGGTCTTCTGAGTCATATTTGTTAATTGAATATAATGGTGAGGCGATCGATGACTGCTCTTCACCCTCCCCTACCCCCACTCCCACCACCACCAACAACCAAACGGATATAAATGTCTTATTTTGTTAAGTGACAAACCACATACGAAGAGAATTAGGTGTGATGTCGTAATATCGCCTAGCACGTGTTCAATCTAATTTTTGATACAGTTCAGCTTTATTTTGCTTCAGGCAATTGAAATCGTCATTGGAACTCTTTGAAGTGCATTGCCTTTGCGGGAATAAGCTTACTGGCTTGTGCCGCACGACTCAACTGAATGCAGATAGTTTCGGTTATCGGAAATGCAGTTTTCCAATCAAGTTGTGCCCACTTGTATCTTACCTCTAAGCACACAGACAATGGTTGTTGACTAACTACTGTTTCAAAGCTGAAGCATTAAACTCTGGTCAGTCATTGATGGGATTCTTGTGTTTAAATGGAGACTCGTCTAGATGGAAGTCCTAATCATGAGAGATAAGACACAATACAACAAGTGCTCGAATGAATCCGAGGAATTTAAATTGGACAAAGCAGCGAGTTGGTTCTGATTTAATGCAGGTTCCAGTGGGGCGCTGCTTGTATTTGTAGGGCCGTGATATTAATCCTTAGTAAAATATCAGTGCCAAACTGCCGAGTACATTCATAAGTTTGAACACAGTTGATGCAAATGGTGTAGGTTATGAAATAAGTTTACTCAAGTCCTGGAGGTCTCGAGTGGATGTAATAGTTGGATTAATATTTTAAGGTTTACAGATTTATTTCCTCAGCCACTGAGGCTAAGGAAAATATGTTGGTTTTTCAAAAAGATTGCACTTGTTACGGGAATTTGGGCTGCTAGCGTTTTCCTAATAACCTTAATTTGCTTGAAATTTGAGGAAAATGAAATGCCAATTTACTAATACAGCTTACATTTATACAGCGCCTTTAATGTCGGGAGAACATTCCAAAGAGCTTGACAATGCTGGCTGGGCATTCGAGCTAAATGAATGAAGGTCAACTCTTGTCGAAGATTTGCAATGTGATGTTGATAATGTTGATACCCAGCAGATTAAATACTTTATTGGCCATATCTTGTTTAGTTTAGGTCAGTGTTTTGACTAGAGTTAGGGTGGCAGAAGGTCTTTGAAAACCGTTTTTGTTTGGCTGTGACTATTTGACGGTTAAAAGATGTAATTGAAAATTTTTAACTAACCTTGTCGAACCATAGTAATTGACAGCACAGAAGAGGGGGGTAGTTTTGCGGACAGAGGGGGGCGGGGTGGGGATCGAAGAGAAAAGGATGGTATTGGGTGAAGTTGTGATGGTCCTGTGAATAACCAGCATGTAACATTCACTGCTGAGGCTCACGCACATTGGTGAAGGGGAGGTTAGGTGGAATAACTGCTCGTTTGGAAAAACATTTCAGAAGGAAAGGGGGAAGCATGAGCTCCTTTTATTCCAAGCTGTTGATCTTCGGACCCATCATGCAATCCACAATTCTGACATGGTTTAGGGATTTTGGAAGGGGGCCTAGACGTTTGCATTCAACACTGTTTGCACTGTCAGCCCAGCAATGATTAGAGAGGCATTGTGGAACAAAACACCAGATAGAATCTTGTATGCAACTTGTGAAAACTGCTGCAAAGCTCGTTAAACATCGCAATGCTGAGTTTGTTAATGTACAGCTTTGGCTGTGGGGGTGGGAGGGGAGGGTTAATCCTCGCACAAGATTTTAATTATTTACTTTCAGCGAAGGACAAAGTTTGTGCCTGGAGTTGAAAGCGTTTTGAGTGTGGAATGTTTTCTGAGGCGGAGGGACTGCGGGATGGAGTTCCAGAGGGTGGGCAGAATGGCTGAAGGCTCACCCGCCTGCCAATGATGGGTATAGTCGAAATGGGTAAGTGAAGGGGAAAAGTCTGAATGGTTCAGGGCTATTTGAACCCCCAAGTCAGAATGCAGTGTTCTCATTGTTTCTATGTTGAGTTTCTCATGTGAGCTGTGGAGTATCTGGTGGGTTCTTGGCCAGTGATCGAGCATTTTGGGTTCAAAGAGGGATACGGACTAGTGGTGCACGAAATAAAAAAGCTTGATCGGGGTTTTGAGATAGGCTGGAGCGGTGGGATTGAATGAACAGTTTCTTCTGAGAGCTGGCGCAGACTTGATAGGTCGAATGAGTCAGACTTGATGGGTCAAATGAGTCAGACTCTCTGCCCCCACTCTTTGGAACTCC